CAAACAGCAAGCCAACAACAACAAAAAATGGAACTACATAGACTAGTAAATATACACTATGCCCTTTGGTATGGCCTAGCAGTACAGAGGTGAGATAACCCCTTTGAACTGATAGAGGGGGGGAACGTCACCTGTATATTTTAACTCGATTTGTTATTTCCTATCATCACCTGTCTGCTGTGGTTTGAGGTCATCTGTTTGAGGCCTGTCATTCAGTTCTTACACATCAATGGGTTGTTACCATAGCATTTTCTACTTTTTAATAGCATTTCATATTGACCTCGCCATAGCGTTTTATGAACAAGAGTGCGGCACTTAGAGACCCATATAATTTTAAGTGACTATCTTATGTAAGGAAACCAGTGTAGGCAAGGATTTAAGCAAGTTCATAATCAAATAATGGCATAGGCAGAAAAAGGACTTAGAAGTGGATTCCTGTTAACAAAAGTGAAACCGTGACAGCATTGAACATTCAGTATGTTGTTGTTGCTTATCAATGGGACATGTTTGTGGAAAAAAGTATGACTTTAAGTATTTGAGGACTAAAAGTCGTAAAATTACTCTATACTAATGAAGGACAGAGGCAGCACAGCGTAGGACCATAAGATGTAAAGCATTTTTATTTAGAGAAATATTAGTTGATGGAGGCTACTTCCAAATCCATGGAGAATGATATTTTATTGAAAAGTCTTATAAATAAAACTGTGGCTTCCTGGATTCCTAAAGTTCAAAGGTTTAAAAATTATTTGAAACCAAAACCGTGCTTTACCAAAGTATTGTAGGATTTTTCATGCACTGATGCTATGGAAAGTGTTTTTAAAGGAACCAAACATGTACACAGGGATTGGAGAAAAGAGCCGTAGTGGAGAAGCAGCTTGCTTCGTGCTGTTTATTTTGTGACTGGAACTATAAGTGTCACGTAATGTTTTTGTTGGTCTTCTGGTCCTCACACAGGAGATGATAGACTGCCGTATGTGGCCCACTATTTGAAACTGATAAAACAAAGAGCATCTAGATACAAGATTTAATTTCAAAAAGTACAACCCTAACATTAAAATTGTAATTACAGTATGCAATTTGGTATCTAATTAGGCACAATCTAAGGCATATAATAATTTGTCTAAATAAGAGGCTTTCCAAAATACTGTTTATAATAGATTCCACACATGATTTTCTCAGGAACTGAATACCTCACTAATTCACAAATGACTACTTAATATGTTTGGTAGTGCTTGCTTCTTAGCTCTTGACTGATGGATACAAATATTCTTTAACTACTTACAATCTGTTTCTAATGCATGCATTCTAGTTCATATTTCCTAGCTTTTACTATTAAATAGAGAGTGGTATTTATTGACAAAAAAGAAATCTAAGAAAATTAGTTCTTATTGGGTGAAAAATTAGCATTTACTATGTTATTATAAATAATTGAGAACATGCTATTTACACTTTCTTTTGTGTCAGTAATTTTGAACTTTTCCTAAGTATACTATGGCTGGAAAGATTCTGTGATGCTGTATCACTGACACAGAAACTTTGAAATATATTACTTATCATCAACATGTTTTTGTCGCAGCTAAACAAAGTTATCTTTTTTAAATCCATAAAATATATGAACTAGAATATAAATCTATTCCATTGAATGGGACCACTCAACCCAATTTATTAATTAGCAAGCTGTAAAATTTTCAGAAGGCATGCTGACGTTTTGTGTGGCTACTTTTGTTTATATTATTGCCATACTTTACCCAAAGTTGAGCAAACTATTATGTATTTAGCACAAAAGTGGAGAAGGGCAAATGTCACTCATGTCTGCTATTGGTTAGATCCTAGGTGACATTTTTTTCCCTTACTTTTTAGATCGTCTGCAGGCAGGCTTCATGGAAACGCAGCACAAAGTAGAGAAATAGGATTTATCAGGCAGGGGATCTTTCAGTGAACTAATGCTGTTCATTACATATTTTAGATGTCGTCTTTTCAGTCTACTCTACCTAAAGTGCACTACCATCTAAGAAGACAAGCAATGAAAACCTTTGTGAAGACCGAATTTAAAGGAAATAATAACAAGTAACAGTTTAATAAAAGCTGAAAATGTGATTTTGGGGGGGATCAGATATTAAGCTTGATTAGTTTACTACAATTGTAATAAAATGCTTACATCATTTGAATAATAAGCATCATCCACATCATAAATTCTGTACAACAGATGCTTTTGAAATGGAACCACCTGTTTTTTCATGTTGTAATATACTAGGCATTTATGTATTACTGTGAATTTCTTTTTAAATGTGTAAGTCTTATGTAAATGGATATAAATATGATTTTTTAAAAATAAAATATATGGTTCATGGAGTCTTGAGTGCAAACATTTGACAATTACAAGTACTGTTTGTATTTTGCCATTCCACCATTTTTACAGTTTCTGAATTGTAACAGTCAGATCAATGTCTCCTTGAAGCATGTTCTATGCTTCAAACTGTTCCTCCTTTAGGTCTGTCTATATTTAAAGCTGAACACCTGCCTCTGATCATGTAAAAAATGATTTAACCTGGAACTGGAGCCAAAAATGACCTTTAAAGGCAATCAGGGATGTCCTATATCTTTAGAAATAGCACTGTGATGGCTCGATCTCCTTTTCAATACGAAACAAAGCCAAACTGTTTACAAGAGTCTTACACAATTATTTTAAAAATTTATATTAAAAATCCATTATCTTCTCTTGTTACCTGTGGACCAAGAAAAAAAAAAGAAAACTTCTTTACTAAGACCCACATGTTCATTCAATACCTTGACCGGCCAGCCAGCACTGGACAGTGAATGTCAATCACTGCAGCGTCTGAGGTTCATTTTCACCGGTAAAATCAGAATGCTAGAAATCCCTTCCTTTTGTCAGTGTAACAGGGCATTAGCCAGACCCATGATAAACGTTATAAGCTTTTAGCCGAGATGGCCTTGTGGGACTTCCCTGAAGTCAGTTTTATCAGAGGAAATAAATGAAAGACAGAATGATGACATATATAGTGTATAAAAGGTATAGAAGAGTAATACCTTCCCTGTGACTTTATTTGGTGGTGTTACTGTTGTTTATTCTTTGTTTATATGGGAGATTTCAAAGTAAAACCTATTTAATAATACCACTTATCTAACTGCTGATTTTCTGCTGCTTGGTCTTATTAAGCTCAAAACCTGTCATTAGTTGATTTCCTTTTTGTATTTTAATTTGCTATGTTTGCACGTACATTACATTTGTTTTGATGTCTATTTTTATTTATCAGATTCAGTCAAAAGGTAATGGTAACAGAAACCCTCTCCATTGTCAATAAAAAAATACTTCCAGTTCTCTGTTTAAGCTTTGTTTGTAGTGATATAACATTTGCCTATTGAACTATGATGAAAACCACTCTCAGTGACTCAAAATCTATTATTTCACCTCAAACTTAGTCTGCCACAAGAGGGAGGCATAACCTAGCTTATGGAAGTGATTTTGAACTTTCCTTCAGTGTTGCTTGAACAGAAACAATGGGAAAGAGCTTTCTGAACTCACCTGAAAATGACAATTTTGACTCACAGAAATAAAATATAATACTGAAACTATGATATTAAAATACCACAGTAGATTTGTCTTTATTCTCATACTTTGCATCACTACAATGAATTATCTGTGGTAATTAGCTTATATAGACAAAAGGATTGTTTTGACTCACATAGTTTTGGAGCTTCCAGTCAAATATTTAGTGGACCAATTGCTTTGAGCCTTTGGCGAGCATGTGGGATGGCAATGGAGCACATTTAGGAGGCAAACTGCAAACCTCACGGCTAGGAACCCAGAGAGACAGAAGGGCTTCTGCCCTACCATTCCCTTCGAGGGTTTCTCCCCCAGGAACTTCAAGACTTCCCCTAGAGCTCCTCCTTTAACCTATGAGTCCTGAGAGACAGGAAATGCACAAACTGCAGAAAGCCTTCAATTACTAAATCCAGTCTCTTCTTTTTAGAGATCAAGTAAGCACTATTAATCATTTGCAATAGTCTTTAACATATAGTGATACCAAAGATCCAGCTACTTCCCTCAGAAAGCATAAAATATGCTTTGTTGATAAGGAAACTTCTGCCAGGCTCTAAAACCCTTTCCCTGTACGGAGTCTAAAACCACAGTATTTTTCCTTTTTACCATCATCCTTATGAACTGTGACATTTTCAGAGATCAGATCAAGACCCTTCAAATTATTTTAGATAACTAAAACAGCTCCTTAAAATGTAAGATACATTTCATTTGCATATATTTAATATATATTCAAAAGAAAAATGATTAATTATAAAATATTTTTCTACAGATCTTTGAAAGCACTTTCCATTTTCATTTTCCTGATGTCTTAGAGTAAAAACTTCCATGAAAATACCAAAAGCAATCATATACAATTTACTTTGGCAAATAGTATGATGACATGTTTTATAACATTATATTACTGTATTAAAAGATACATTTAATTCAAAATATTTTAGATACTGTTAGCAACAGTGCTTAATAGTAACTATTAAAATAGAAATTTTTCTTTGTTTTATTCTGAAATTATAAGCAGTCTGATGATTTGAGTGGACCTTTATGGGCCCAGTTTTAGTCATACTCTAACAGTGCAAAAGAGATAAATTTCCTCAATGAGACACAAGAAATAGATACTATTTCTAGACCCACACAACTGGGAAATAACCCAACGCTGCTTGTGGAAATGTCCCTTCAGACGAGATTACCAGGAAAAATGTGCAAGAGGACAAGAAATGCAACTTTTACGCAACTCTTGGATCTATCTGAGCTCGCAACTTGCAAATAAAGAAGTCACATTCAGTTAAAGAATTTGCCATTTCAAGTTAACTGACTCATGTAAGAAAAAAATAAGGAAATACATTTTATTGATAAGACATTAAAATAGTTTATTTGTAAGTCCTACCGTTCTGATAATAGAAAACAATGTACTCAATTAAAAAGATATTTCAAGAAAACCAAGTTTCAAATTATACAGAATCTATTTAGTTGGATTAATTCAGACTATTGAAATAATTAAAGACAAATATATTTTTTCAGGTATAACAATCAAAAAGGCAGTGTAAGCAAATAGGAATTTACTTTGAGAAACCACTTATTTTGTAGCCTATAATCTAAAAAGTGCTAATATTTTCAAAATATTTTATACAGGTTGTAAGTAATTTCTATGACATAAACAAGCAAATTCTCATGTATTATCACTCTCTCTCTCTCTCTCTCTCTCTCTCTCTCTCTCTCTCTCTCACACACACACACACACACATATAAAATTTCCTGTACCCAAACTATTACGTTAGGACAATGTGTTCTTGAAAATAATGTTCCCAAATTACTAAAAGTTTGAGAAATACTTTGAGAATCTTCAAAGATTCAGTGTTCTTTTATAATTGATGCATGTAGAACTCCAAATAAATCAGTTCATTACCGACTTATATCTACTCTAGTTATTCAGTACATTACCATAAGCTTATTAAAGACAAGCTTTAAATTTCTATTAAAAAGGCTTCCTAGATTTGTGGAAGTTTAAATATGAAAATATGTTTTGACATAATTCTGACATGTGTCACTATTGTAAAAATCGTAGCTTTCACAAAAAAAGATGGATTTTTGGCTTCTTTTAGAAACCCAAGGCTCTCGTGGCAGGAGACCTGTCTACCTTTCTCCGGCTACACATTCTTCCACGACTGGGCAGGGCAGTCCTTTGATGGAGCAGGTGCTCCCTGGTCTTCACCATTCCCTACTGACCTGGGATGCAGGCTTGACCTTTCTTCCTTCAGAGCTTTCCTTGCCGCTCTATTTCATTTGTGTGTTATTTACTTGATGGGATAACAAAGTCAGAACCATTAAGAAGTACACAATCTAAGAACCCAAATCATGAGTCAGGGCTCTTGGGAGACTTCATCTCCCAAAATGAAAAGATTGGGCTGAGGAACCTTTAGGTTCTCTGCAGATATGTGATTTCACTTGTCTGAGTGAAGGCAGAGCAGTGATGCTGGCTTCTTGCCTTCCTTCAGGAAGCATATGGCCACACAGGTCTCCTGTCCTAGACAATAACTTCATCTGTCTACATCGTTACCTAAAATTTCCATTTTATCTATTTCACTTAAAACAATGTAGGCATCTAATGAATATTAAGAACTTTAAGATTAATAAGAATTTCTACAAGAGCAATTTTAATTATTTTTGATGCTGAATTGTGCTTTAAATTTTGTCAGGATATATTTATAAGGGCCACTTTCAGTTACAGGATATTTCTTGGGGAACCATTTTTAAAAATCATAAAATGGCTACATTTTTCTTATAGAACTGGACAACACAGTTAATGCCATATTACAGGCAACTGAAAACAATATAATTGGGTCAAATCAGACAGATTCTTTTACTAGTCTTTAATAGATTAGGTTCATTGATGTTTTACATTTCACATTTCAATTGGCAAGTAATTTCTATGTAAATTTTTATTTCTGGGAAATAACTCAAATAACTTAATTTCAACTACAAAATTAACTCAGACCAACTCATAATAGGAGCAAAAATCAAGATGATTTTTTAAGTGCTTCTTCTATGTGTCCAAAAATGCTGGGGTCTTCAATTGTAGGAGTTACCTGGAAAGAAATTTAGTGTCAGATAAACGCCCCTCTACACTCATTATAATAAAATGATTATATGCAAATTAAGATATCACATTATCTTATAAGACTCCTATAAAATATATAAAATAGGGAATTTTAAAGCTTTTTAAAAAAAATCTATTTATAGTCTTCTGAAGTAATAAACAAATGGTTCAATGAACAAAACTATTGATCATAGGTAATACTTTAGAGTTCTTCTTAATAGTCTTTCTAAATATTTCTATAATGTTGCTTTCTACTTTTCTCGATATGTATTTGCTCATATAAGGACTCTACTGTTACGTTACTTTTTATTAGATATTATTGATAAAATATGTATATCTTTGCACAGGGTGTGCATACAATCTATTCTTGAATAAATCTAAAATTTCTTAAAATGAATTTCACTCAAAGCAGGAGGAATAACACATACATCAATTATAACATTTTATTTATTTATTATTTTTTTTTGACTTTGGTTTTTCTCCGGTACCGGGAACCGAACTCACAACCTTGTGCTTGCCAGGCAGGCACCTTTTGCGGCTGAGCTAAATCCCCAGTCCAATTATAACATTTTAAAGATTTATTGTAAGCCTCAAATATTTTACTTTCTCATTCATTAATAGTTATTAATGACTATAATAAAGAAAAGTGTACCTTTAACTCAAAAGGACTGAGTTTGCAAAAGTATGTTTGAATTCAGTTAGCATAATTACTAATACCAAAAATATTTTCACATATTGGTTCTTATAATCAAAAGGTATGGTTTTAACTAATGGGCCTTTCTTTCCCAACCCTCATCCTACAGAGAGGAGCTATGCAATTTTTCTCTTAATATGAAAAAGATCATGCAGTTATGTATCTGGTAGGGAGACAATTCATGCTTAAGAACCATTTTAAGAGTTTCGCTGACGACATGGAAACAGTGAAAAGCATTTTTGAATTCAGTATTAAATACCCTTGATAACTTACCTTATATGGCTTGCCATTGACTAAGGCAGATAGAGTAGATCGAGGAATTTTGCCAGATCTGGTTTTGGGCAATTGTTTAACAAACACTGCATTTCGAAAAGCAGCAACAGGGCCAATGCTCTGTCTGACATGCATCACAATTTCTTGTAAAACTTGTTCCTCTGTTGCATTGATATCTAGGGAGGAAGTTGAAACAGTAAGCAATGAATTAACCTGAGTGAATCATTCAGGCCCAAACAATCAGGAAGAACAAAGACGTCTCACCGTTCCTTAACACACAGATTGCTAGAGGAACGTGACCTTTCAAAGGATCTTCCTTGCCCACCACAGCGCAGTCTTCAACAGTACCATGGGAGAGAATGGACTGTAATAAGAAAAGGCATTCATTTAGAAGATGTGTGCATATATATGTGTGTGTGTGTGTCTGATTTTAACACAGAAAAAAAGTACATATCAGTGAGCTGCCTGTCTGAAAATTTATTATTAACTCACATAATTACCAGTGGTTAGAAAGATTAGGATCCCCATGGTAGTCATAAAGACTGACAGTAATTAAGATAAATTACTCAGATTACCTGGAAAGTATGGAAATTGTTGCTTCATCTTAAGTATTTATTAATACAGTCAGACAACATATGCAACAGATATCACATGTACTAGCTACCAGGGGTCCTATCATGTTTTGACAGTAGTCCTGGCTGCTTTCAGAGGAATTCCGTTGCCCCCAGGGCTGCATAATAAAGTTAATGAACAGTTCCTTGAATGGCTGCCCATCCAGAGAGAATCTGCTAGGACTTGAAAGAAGAGGCTGGGGGTGGACGCAGTCCTGATGTGCCATAATCACCAATTTCATATTACTCATGTTCAGCTCTCAAGGCCTTAAGCGGGGAGCATCTATCTGGAATCACAAGAACTCACAGATTTGAAAATCCAAATAAATTATAGATGCTTACAGTGTAAAAAATTCTGCTGTGATGGAACTTTTAAAAATACATGTTCAAAAAGGCCTCCTCTGAGAGGTTAATATATATTTCAGTGATTCCAAATGTCTCATGTCTAGAGAGCACAGCAAACAAACTTGATTCCAACAGTTCATTTAGCAGTCCTTATTTGTCTTATATTCATTCATGCAACAAATGTTTATTCAATGCCTCCATTGGAACAACCCTGTATTAAGCTCAGTTATGAGCAAAAATAGGCAAAGTATCACTACATAATGTTCATAGTCTAGTAATGAGAACAGATAGAGTATTAATAACCTTGAAATTTTACTTTTTATAAATGTCTAACCATAGCAGTAGTAAGAGTCTGTTAAGCTATTTATATGCAAGATATAGCAAAGCATATAATTTCCCAGAAAGATGTAGCTATCAAAAACATCTTCCCTTAGCAAATGACAATGAGCTGATCTAAAGAATAAAGAGATATTGATTAGGCATAAGGAAGAGGAGGGGGGAATAGCTCAATAGAAAAACTGTATGTATACCATTAAATCTGAAAGAGATTAAGGTGTCTGGAAATTAGGGATGGAAAGAGAGAGAGAAAGAGAGAGAGAAGGAGGGAGGGAGCAGAAGTATGAATAGTGATAACGTTTCAGAGGTAGATGCAGTTAGCAACATTGCAAGAGCAATGAAGCATTTTCAGGAGTTGAGGAGATGTAAAATCAGAATAAATTCATAGATTTTATTTTTAATGTAGTTCTAGAGTTACAGCACATTAAGCAGGAAGCAACACTCACATACACATAGCCTCCTTCAGTAATGTGCTGAGAGTGCTACATTTCTTCTAATCAATAAGCTGACCCTGGCACATCATTTTCAACCACGTCCTTAGATTACATGTGGCTCACATTTGTTGTATGTTCTATGGTTTTCCCAAAATATGTAAGACATGTGTCAACCATTAAAGTGTTATACATAATAGTTTTAATATTGTAAAAATCCCCTGATGTCCTACCCATTCAGCCTTCCCTTTCCCCTAACATTTGCACGCTGAATGAATTTTAACAACTGAAACGTTTAAAAGAAAAGCATCAAAATATGCCTTGGCGATATGTGAGGGACAGAAGCCCACCAAATGTCGTGTGGGAAGAACAGTCAAAAACCACACTCATGCATCCAGCCCCTCAATATAAAATCTATGAGGCATCCACAACGACCTGGTATTTAAGTACCTGCAAAAATGAGGTACCTTAGAAGGTAATTGTCACAATAGAAATGTACATCTGTCTCATGTAATAGGTCTGGTTAATAGCTGTCATTTGACTAGTGACCATTTTTGTATATATTATAATGTATTTAAAAGGTTTCAAAGCTTCAGTGGGTTACACAACACAGGTTTTTCAGTACGACTTTTTTTTGTACCGGGAATCAACCTCAGGACCTTCTGATTGCCAGGCAGGTACTGTGCGGCTTAACTACATCCCCAGCCCTCAAATATACTTTTAAGAATTTTAATTTAAAAATACTCTTTTAAATTAAGCACCTTCGCAAAATATAAGGAATCACTCTGACACTGGCATAGCCTAGGAAACTGTCAGAGCGATTCCATGCCTTCATCAATATTCATACCAAGACTCTGGCAATATTCAGCAAGTTTGCAACTATTTAAAAACAGTAATCACTTAATACTGAGAGGAATTGAAATTCCAAAGGATCTCTGTGGGATACACAATCACTTTCCAGATATATCTTCACCACTGAAGACACCATTCTTAAAATAAGGAGCAAAACAGCTAACATGGAAAAGAGTGCAATCCTATTCGGACCAAATTTATGGAGGGCAAGTTATATTTGCATGTTGTCCCAGGCTCAACATGCAGTATTTTAACACCAGATTCCCCAGTTCCCCAGGGCATTGTTGGTATTATTTAACAAACTGAAAGTTAAATTTGAACTGAAAGAATGAAATCCAGGAGCCCAACTAGTTCTATAGATATCTTTTCAAATGAAAACCCTGTCCGCATCAGTGAAAGAGAACTAAGCAAGAAGGATCACACTGGTCCCTGCTAATTTCGGCTCACAAGTGCCAAAGAGCAGATTTCAGACCCAATTTTCTTAAGAACTCCTTCAACTTCCACTCAAGTCTCCCAAGTGTCTAGATGGTTGCTAGGCTTTCAAAGATTAATCAACTGTTAAAATAGACCTTATTACTCCAGAGTTACAGAAGGTTCTCACTTATATTGGGATCCACAAGAATAATATCCTATTAATGTTATAAAAGCTATTGTAGGGCTTCCTTTTTTAAAGACTAAGAACAGAAAAGAACATATTTTTGATGGAATGATTTTAATCATATATGTTCCTGATTGAGTATTTTTTATTTAGTGTTTTATATAAGATAATAAACTTATAACATTTTTATTTGGGGAAACTACAAAAGCATAGTGATCTTCACCAAATATAAAAACCAATTTTAGTAAATTTTTCTGTACAAGTGAAATTTCAGTGGGTTAAAATCCTTAATTCTTGTTTCAAAAAGTTAAAGAAGAATACATAATTCACCACAGGGAATACTGGAAATTAAATATGAAGGTTTGAATGGATTAATAAAAGCTGGTCCTATCATCAGTGCAAACATTTCATTCATATATTAAAAAGCAGTTTGCTAAGCAATTTTCTGAGGAGCTAGGAGCAAGAATGTAAATTCTAAAAGAGACTCTAAATATTGAGATATGAATTGACACCAGACATGAATCAAGATTAAATTTCTTACATCCAATATTTAATCATTTAATTTATATAAAAAGATATGCTAGACTGAGAGCTTAAGCAATGTCCTGTTGCATGCTATTAATACTCTTAAAACAGAGTGACAAAATTTCTGTTACATGACAAGAATCCTGTCACATTTTCTTTATTTTTCCAATTTAATTGCCTATTTTTTGCCTGTCTTAACTCTGATGTTTCATACAATGAGAAGGCTGTGAGCAGAAGCATAAAGGTACAGAATAAATTTGAATAGGTTGACACTTCTTTCTATTCTAAAACTAAAATAAAGAAACTAAAGTTTCTGACTGATAGTAAGAGCTGTGCACATATAATCTTCATATTTTGATTAGCTGAGTCTGCCAGAAATGCAGATGAATACTGAGGTAATCTTCTAGAAACAAGAAATTAAAAGTTCACACAACCAGAACTACATTTTGCCAATACACAAAAACACATGAAGCATAAATTTTAATTTAATGTTATCACAAAATACAGTCATTTGAAAGCAAGATAATACTGTATTATAATAGCACACCAAAATCACATTCTAAAACATTTTATGAAGTTCTTCCCTGTTACTCAAAAAAGTTCACATTCATACGCACACTCACAGATGCTCACAGACACACACAGACACACGCACACAGACACACACATAGACACACACACACACACACACACACACACACACAAAGGTAGTGCAACAAGAACTAATCTGTTTAGTGTGACCTATACGGAAGGTGACTATTAACAAGATGAAGATGAATAGAATCTTTGTATCTCTATACTCTGGTCTCACTAAATTTTTAATCATTTCACTTTAAATTTTTTCTTTTATCATTTTATAGTTTGCCTGCTCCATTCAAATTAAAAACTATTTCAGGTTTCTGTTCTGGAGAAGATGGTATAACTAGTTCCACCTTATTGCTTCCATTAATTACCAAGAAAAGCACAGTGGGCTAAAATAAACTGTGAAAGCTTGAGAGACAACCTGGTGATGAGTTCTTTGTTTTTCATTGTTTGGAAGTTCTGTGGTTTTGCTCGCTTGTTTATTTTGTCTTTTTTTTATATATCCTGGCAAGGAAGCTAGAGCAGCCCAGACTGTGGAACTTCCAATGAGTGTAGAGACAGAAATCTCCAAGAAAATCCTGCTGTGCCTCTAAGGAGGCCCAGGAAGCAGCAAAAGATCCGCGAAACAGACTCTAGCCTTTTTTTGTTTTCAGATGAAGGCCAGCAAAGGCAGTGCCACTTCCTCTCCCCAGGGCTGTTGCGTTTCCACACCAAGGAACCACCAGCAAAGAAGCTGGGAGCCTGGCCTTCTCCTCCAGGACTGGCAGCAGATCAAGCAGGATGGAGCTCAAGGTACTTTCCCAGCCTTCACCAAAAGAACACCCAAAGGTTCAGTGCCATTTGCCCTGCCCTGCATGAGCCATGTGGTCCCTGCGAATGGATCGCTGCTGATGGAACCTCGGACTTCCTAACCAGAGGGCCAGAAAGGAGCAGCAGTGGGAGTCAGAGTGAGGGAGGACTCGTAGGCCGGGTCTTGTACACAGGTTTGGAAGTCATCACTCCTTCCTGACAATAAATTAGAAGCAGAACCATCTAAAAGATCAAGTTTCTCTTTACTATGTTAGAGAGTAAGGTCCCAGGGTGA